CATGCCAATCCCACGGGATGACATCCAGCCCCAAACTGCTACTGAGAAACGACCTGATATGGGGGCTTGTTTTACGTACCGAGAATCATAGCAGCTTTCTTGGGGTCTGAAACCGCGAACGGGTCCATCATTTGTGGAGGAGAATATACTCTCAGCAGAGAAAATGACATCAGCCCAGTCTCAATGTAAATTTTCCTCCGGAAATGCCAGCCGATAGCGCTGGTGTTCTTCTATCAGCTTCGGTTTTCGAGCTGCACTTCTGGATCGCAGACTAGCCTCCGAAAGTCTGTTGCCTATTGTTCTGGAACATCCAGGATATCTGGTGGTTCTTTGCAGTTGTGAAGAAGTTTGAAAAGGGTCTTCCACCGCTGCTTGTATCAAAACTTCATCTTGGTCAGCATCTGAAATACGCCAAAGCCCCGTTCCTAGTTTCCTCCCGGATTCTCCCGTCTCTCGATAACGTTTAAGCCAGTATTGCGCTGTTCTTGCCCCAACGCCATACCGACCCCCCGCCTCTGAAACAGAGAGGTGCCCCTCTTCTACTAATGCGATAACTCGCTCTCGTGTGGCTTGGATATGATGAGCAATGTCGAAAAATGAATGCGGAGTAGTTAAATTTACTTAGCCGCGATTTTTCTTTTCTTACCAAGTGGCAATGCTGCAGAGCCCTTTATCTCCTTTTGACCTGCTGCCGAAAACACGGAAGTGCTGCGAAGGTCAGATTCAAGTCGGTAGTACCGTGAGGCTTACGAGAGAAAATCGATAATCTCTCTCAACAAAAGAAATGAGTTTATTCCACTGTCTTATGAACGAGAATATTGTGGCAACCAAAATGACATTAGCTAATATGGCTAATTGGCAGTCTGATGTTTAACTAAAAGCAGTCATATTTTGCATTAATTTTTGGTAGAAATTGTTTTTGAAGTGAAAAAAAATTGGTATTTTCTGCCATTATTTGTTATTTACAAGCTGTATTATATTTTTGTGCATAAAAACGTTCAATACCTATAATTGATTTCTACTTACATCTGAAATAGATGTTTGTATTATGTTGTAATGAACTTCAATAGCATGACAAAGTCTAGGAATATTTTCCCTTCAAAATTCGTTTTCGACAAATTGTATTTTGAATTTTTTTTTACTTCTCAGCTACGAAATCTCAATACCCACAAAACCAAGGCTTCACACATGAAGGCAAGGGATCTCAGAAATATTCATCATCAGAATCAATGAGCCACATTTATCATCAAAACCATTTTATTTACTTCAGTGTAGACATTGCATTTCAAAGCCTTGTCCCGCGAAGAATTATTGTAATTACTGAACATCAACAGTTCCATCATCTTTATTCACATTATATATCAATAGCATAAGGGAGTCTATGCACTGAATTTTTTAAATTTATTTATATATAGTAGTATAGTAGAAATAAAAGTCACATCAAAGCAAACAGATGTCAAAACGGAATTTAATGAATGATTTACAGATACAAACACAAGTCAAATTTTCTTGTCAGTATATCACTATAATTTTGTGGTGTTGTTAAACGAATTGTCTTTCCGAGCTCTTAGGAGTTCCATTTCATGGTTTTATTCGAGTAAAAATTAAAATAATACGCAATATTTTAACGTTCCTTTTATTCGCAATTTAATATTATTATCTATAAGATAATAGAATCTTATTTTATTTTGGTCTCCTATGAGTATTACCGCTTTTTGAGAATTGCTTGTTTGCTTTCCTTATTCGTAATTGGGAATTTTGCTTAAATTATGCATAACATTGACACGACATATATAGTATGTTCTAATTTAGTGGATTTTTTGACACTGTAGAATGAATAAAATATCTACGAAGACTGGGAACCGAACCCGCTACTTCACGAGTTCTAAAACACCACTTCGCCACTGAGCCATTCTTTCGCCATTCTAATACACCTCTTATAACACACGTCTTATAACAACACATTTTATATTAAAGAAACTTTAAAGCAAAATCACGTTTACCGAAGTTAATGTCAGTTCTGTTTTACTGGCAGGAATGACGAAAGTCTTTTTCCTCTGTACTATTACTATTTAGCTCTCAACGGCCATTAAAATATTTTATTCGCTCTCCAATAAAATAAATTTAATTATAGTTCGATCATCAGCACGAAGTTTCGAAAATAAACGTTAGATAGCGCTGTCGGCAAGCAGGGATGTCCAGCGCCATCAACCTCTCGGGCCAAGGCATTTTCGACGCGAAATTTTATGTTTCCAAGAGTGTACTGTTAGCACCTCAATTTTTTTGTGCCGAGGTGATCATGTAAACACTCGCAGATTAACACCGTCACTTCCTATCCACATTATACAGATGAGATAATTGTCAATGTACAATTGTAGAATTGGTAAATGAAAGATACACCAATGATGAGTAACGCTAATTCTTTTAGAAATGGAATGTACTAGATTAGATCTTAATTGTTTTTCTCTTGATTCCAGTTAAATACGAATTCTACTACAATTTTCATATTTTAACTTCGTTTCTTCTGTTTCAGGTATGAACTTCCGTGGAGAAAGTCAACTATTTACTATTTACCTTTTTTTGTAAGTAATTTTTAAACACATTTCTATGTCTTCTTGTTAGTCTACTATAAATCGCTCTATATGAAATACCTCTCCAATATTTCACAATCTTATAGAAGGTATTTTAGCTTCTCTCTTATGTCTAAGGGATTCATTTATGCAAATGCGTTAAGAACATTCGTGATAGTTGACCGCCCAATAGGCTCCAGGGAAATGTGATTATGAGTCGACAGGTGGTAATTGAAAAACAGCCGCTAAGTAATAGATTCGTTGCAAGAGAATATGAATTCGTTTTATTATTATAAGTTCTGAATTTCGTACTTCTGAAGCCATCCGCGTCCGCCAACAACATACAGTGCAAATGAGAAATAAAAAAGTGTTTGAAAATTGGCTCTTTGCTGGGGGTCTCACTGCTGGAAATTCGCATTTGAAATGGCCGCGCGGTCTCCTGATACTTCACAATGTTTTATTTCTTTTTCTCATAAAATGACATTACATTGATATTTTTTGATGTAGTTGTGTTATTTTCTTTGTGCAATCGCCAAGCCTGTTGTGACAGGCCCGGCCGAGGAAATTTACAAAACTTTGACTGCGCATTTTCTATGAAACTGCTAATGATTTTGCGCTTTGTAACAACTAAATAAAATGGTACATTAAATGAATAGCGAGTGTTGTTATAAAGCAATTACATTGGTAGCCGCGGGTGCTAAATTGAGGGGGGGAGTTCACCCGACTAAGAACGAATGCAGTAAAACGTATAGAATTCTCGCAAAAGCCATGGCCCAATGTGAGGCCGTCAGAAACGTTATCTAGTGAATCACACTGGTTGATTCGCAGTAGAATTTTTTAATGTTATTTAATACTGGTACATCCCTCGTTTCCATGTGATGATTTCCATTCTCTACTAATTTAACGTTAATATTCTGCCTCCCTTCTCTGTGTAACCTGAATTCATTTCGTAATTGTTTCAAAGATCTTCTTTTTCTGATACACTGGAATTATATTGCACTTTATTTTTTTTATTTTCTGAATTCAGTGACAATTGAGTTAAAAACCGCGGTGACGTTCCTAAGGCAGAAAAGCAATAGGGAGTTTTAGCGCAACGCGTAAGGTAGCGGCGTTATGCACAAACAGTCACGTGATGGACCTTGAAGTCATAACGTCTTGCCTTAGGCCTAAGGTACGACCTTATACCTTCATAAATAGTGCACGCCTGTGGATGTCTCTATGACCACGTTGCAAGCGAAAAAATGCCAACTCCCAAGCGCTGGCAAGAATTAACGGGATATGTGACAGGAAAGAAACTAACGAAAGAGAATTTCAAATCTTATCTTCGGGATAGGTTATGCCGTATGCTCATAATGAACGCTGTCTTAAGATATTTCCTATATTTTCAAGAAAAGCCGATTGAAAATTGCAGACTGCTTACTTATCACGGAGGGCCACAAAATCTAAAACTCCATCACTATGTCTATTTGTTATTCTGTTGACTCGTAAGGTGTTTTAAATGTATCACCACTAGCCTACACACTTTGATAGGTTATGCAATTTCGCTGTTCAACGCTTTAAATGCTTCCTTTGTTATAATGCATAACGCAATGTCGCAATTGCTAAAACTCTTCTGAACTTTGTTCATTACGACCGTATGAAGGCGTCAGTCACGTGATCAATAGAGCTTAAGGATACCTCCTTACGCCTGGCGCCAAAACTCCCTAATATGTACAGGGTCTCTTGAGGTCTATGCTAGGCCATGGCCCTAACCCACACATTAAGTTTAATTATGAATGCATGTATTAGCAAGTGTTTCTGAGAAGAATGTGCACTGAATTATTTTCAGCTGACTACTTTGGTAATTATTCCTTTAGTCCGTTTCGTGCCTTTTAACACTATTTTTACTGTCACTTTATTTCTGTGACAACGTTCCTCTAAGCCAGCCACGTCAAGCCCGCCCGCTCGAGCCACTTGCCCGCCTTCTCCGGGCTCTCCGCCCGCGGCTCCTTCCCCTCACTCCGAACCGCTTCCCCTCCACATCCACAAGGCGGTGAATAATGGCTTCATACGAAAATGCGTTTGCCAGATATTATTAATCAAATAACCGAGAATTGTATTATGTTTATATTTGTTTATAGTTCTAGTAAGCTTGTTACCTTGCCTGTGGCCTTGACTTGCCTGCTCAAAACAATGAATTTGGCGTAGAACGAGATTCTGGAGTCCTTGGTGAAAGGCAAGCGACTTCGCTTAGAGCCACGAGCTACATTTTCTGTCGCGAGAACATGGACAACGATTATTAAAATTTAATTACACACTGAGCTCTAGAAAACACCCACAGATAGTGAAGATGAAAGCCTTCAAAACCGAATGTGTCACTGACGTCCGGAAGTCTGGAGGTCTGGACGTCAGTCCGTCTGTACGTCACTGAACACCACTAACGCCTAAACCATTCTGAGAATTTTTTTCCACAATGGATATTCCCCAGTCGATCTGGATCCACTATAGGCGCTGAGATTTTGAAAAACTTACTTCAAAATTTGGGGGTACTCTACATTACGTCCCCTAGGCATTTTAATTTTTTTACTCTAAAACGGCTCCTTTTTTTTAATTTCTTGTAAAAATCCAAGCTGAAAGGCCCCGTTTATATCTGCCTTGAGTCGAATCTTTGGGACTTTCAAAAACATTGTTTAAAATTTGGGGATACTTTACGTGAAGCTCCCTAGCCATTTTAAAAAAATTCTCACAAACGGCTCCAAAGTTTTCTTTAAATTTTTCGTAGGAATTATAGTAAAATGCATTTGTTAAGGGATCATTGGCCCAATTTCCACAGTAATGTCTAAATTTTCGAAAATTTTAAAAGTTTGAATTTTTTGGGGGTCTTCTTACGACTACAAAATTTAAGGAAGTTTTTTAAATAACATTAATTTTCCAAGTATTTTCATTAGCTCTTATACATTTTTATTTAAGTAGTTTCTGCTCAATACTTCGAGCAACAAGTACAATGTTTTAAAATTATAAAATAAGATTTTCTCACAAACTTTTCGACTTTTTTCTTTAAACATTTGGTAGGAATAGTGCTAATTGTGCTCTGACATGACGTAAACGCTATATTGCTAATAATTTTCCCTCGCTTTCCTACAACTACAAAGTTAAAGATTTTGCACCACATTTTTGAATAAAAATTGCCATAAATGAGGAGGTTTTACTCTTCTTTAGTATTCTTGATGTAATATTTCGGTTCTACTATAAGGAAATCGAAAAATTGAGCAAATGTCAAAAATATGTACTTTAAGCTGCGGTAGATGGCAGCTAGCATAGGGATTGGGCCAAATTGAAGAAAAAAATGAATTAGAAAAATTTACTACGTGAATATCTGTGCCATTATGTAGCGCCTCTAGTTAAAATATATTTACGCTCGTAATTCTGGAATTAAAATTTCCTTAATTGGATGTTTAATTAAAACTGTGTGAAAGAACAACACCGACTCTTTGAAATTCGGTCATTTATTTAGCGCACGGGAGCGGGGGGGCTGCCCGCAGGCTGCCTTGGAACGACGCGGCCTCCGACGCGGGGCGGGGGAGCTCTAGCGAGCAGGCGCACCTCGCGGCGTTTCACTTTCTCTTCCTCTGCCAGTTGTCGGTCTCTGTTATCTGTATCCGAACTGACTGGTTGAGGGAAAGTGAGATCTCGTTAGGGCGGGAGGGAATTGATTTTGCCGGCCATCTGCCAATGTTCTTTGACATGCCACTTGAGTGACAAGGCTACTATGGATTTTCTGCCCTTTGAAAACACGCGCACCGCGGCCGGGATCGAACCCGCGCTCTGGGAGTTCAGACGCCAGTAAGCTAACCTCTGACACATCGAGGCGGCGGTAATGCGGTTTTTGTGGCATATCCGTTTACATATGTTCGATAGCAAAATTCACACACATTCACTTTCACATCTGCTTTTGGACGAGATTTGTAGTAGATCTTGCTAAATTGTTTGTAGCGGCGACTTTGAACAGCGTGAATCAGTCGTGGAAACTCTCTGTGCCCTCAGGCTTAGGTGGCTCGGGGCAGCCTTTGACGACACTGCATTGTCTCTGACCTGGAGGTTCTAGAGTTCGAGTATAGCTGTGTGCTTTCAGCTGCTGTGTGGAGGAGAATTAGCGGTCGACTGCTTTGATCAGTAATTTTTCATGGTTTCCCCCTACAACACAAGGCGAATGTCCTAGCAGCACCCCGCCGAGCGCGCCAACGACCGCACGCGGTCCTCCCTTCCTCTTCCTATCGTCTCCGCTTATTCTCTCAAACGCATCCACGTGCTGCACCGCCTCACATTTCGGGAGCGCAGGGCTGGTCCTCATGCCTTTGGATAGGTCGTCGCCAAATCTCGCCATCCAGCGGAAGATCATTGCAACACAAAAACACTCACTTTACGTTTTGCACAATGATTTTGAATATTTTTGTCCGTTGCTTCAGGACATAGCTAAGTGAAATTGTTTGACCTTGGTTAGAATTGAATGCTATGTAGATTATTATGTTGGTATATATTTCCGCGTATTTGGCCGATTTTTCCTGCTGGTGCACCTTCGTGTAATTATAGCATATTTTGCGCATTACATTAAAATAGTGAATTCTCTAAAACGTTTCAACTTTTTTACGATCTTTTTTTTTGTGAGCGTTCATCGATTGCATGAAATAGTTTTCTATGGATGGTAAAAAACTTGAGCAAATCTAGGAAATTTCTTGACATATTTTTTTAACCAGGCATAAGAAATGCAACAAGACAATGTACTAGGCTAAGGTATCATATTTCAAGATATTTGAGGGCTAAAATCCCTCTCCTTCCTAATGACCTTAGCACCGAACTCCGAGGCAGCCCCAACTGGCCGTGTGTGGCCTGAGGAAGAGTACTTTCTCAATGCGATGCCCAACTGCTGCGAGCGCTGGCACAGCGCGGGCAGGGCCTGGGCCCGTGGGCGCCGTCGTTTCCGGGCCCCGCGCGCGCCTCGCCGCGAGCGCAATTCTGTCTGGCGGGCAGCGCCA